ACAACTATTGCCATAAAAAGAAGACAGCGGAGCTTTGATAGCTTGCATGATGCATTTTGCTCATTTTAGTTAGCCAATAAACATACCGATCTTTTGTGGATTTAGGAATTTATTCTGTTTTGCTGCATGGCAAACATGGCAACTCATAAATATGTTTTCTAGGATTGTTCTTGAAATTTTAGGTTTGATATACACTGATTATCATTAAAGGCCAGTATAAAAATAAGTTCTTAAGGAGGAAAGATATGTGTATAATGTCCATTATTAAAAACCTGAATCTTATTACTTACAAGGAACCTCACTCCACTCCATAAATGGGAATGCAAGTACAACACTTCTATCATAGAAACACTAAGGTGCATGCCCCAAAGTATGATCATGGCAAATGTCTCATGGTTCTTCTCCCTGGCCCAACTTACCTGTCCGAATGCATCTCCCCTTATGAACCCTCCAGGACTTTAAGATCGTCTGGGGAGGCCCTGCTCTCGATCCTGCCTTCGTCACAAGTTCGTCTGGTGAGGACAAGAGACAGGACCTTCTCAGTGGTGGCCCCACGACTATGGAACGCTTTCCCTAGGGATATTAGATCGCCCCCTTCCCTTTTAACATTCTGAAAGAAAGTAAAGACCTGGCTTTTTGAGCAAGCGTTTACATATACATTATAATAGACATAGACATAGAGAGAAAAAACGGAACGACTGGACGACACTATTGGATAATGTTTTTACCTAGGAGACAAACTGATATATGTTATTATTGATTGATTTATTGGTTTTATATTTGAATTAACTGTTTTAATTGTATTTTATGTCTGATGCTGACTGTAAACCGCCCTGAGTAAGGCTGAGTGAGGCAGTATATAAATATAGTAAATAAAAAAATAAATACATTTTCCTGCACCCTACCTTGTAGTTCTTGTTACATACCAGGTGCTAAATTTTCATTCCTAGTAGCAGTATTCCCTTTTCTAAAACACAAGGTGAGTGTGCACTATACAGAAATAATGAAGAGACAGTGGCTATCAATCTGACCAAGATGCAATATTTTTGTTGGAGAACAGCAGATGCCCCACTATTTCCACTCCTCCTGTTGCTACTACTCATGATCCATTTTTCTCATGGGAGAAGAGCTTGGCAAGCAAAAGACTTCTGAAGCAACATCTGACATAAGCTTGCCCGGTACTGCTTTAGTAGCTAACGTTCCTTCTCAATAAAGATGGTTGATGGTACATTAACACTGACGAGTTAGGTTGGTGTAGAATTGTGATGGCTACATACCACACAGATGTGAACCATGATAATGCTGGACAAAACCACCTTAATGCAGTCTTGCTGTGCATTATTAAACATTGGGAGGAAAGCCTGAATCCTTCCTCAGGATTTGGGTTTTCCCTCAACTTAGGGACAGTGAGGACAGGGTGCCTGAACCTTGGGAGAATGTGGGATGGCAGTCAAGACAACTGCAGCTGATTCCACTTGGAACGGTCTGCAGTGTCTGGACTATAACCCTGGAGAGAACCTGACTCCTGCTTCAGGAGTCAGATTTCCCCCCAGGTTAATACAGATCAGCCCTGTGCAGCACGTGGTTAAGTGATCAGTGTAGATGTGCCTCCAGTCAATGAAACCACAGTTGCAAGTGCAAGAACTGAGCAGGGCTGCTAACAAGAGAGTGTTTTGAAGGTCTCTCATTAATTGCATCTCCATAAGCTGACTCCAACATGATAACAATGTAACAACAACAGTAGTAGTAGAACTATCAGCATTAGTACTGAGATAATTTTATAGCTATGGATTATGATCAATCAATCTTTATTATGGTAGAAGTGGCAAATAGCAAAATAAGGAAAAAAGAGAATAGTCTTCCAAATCTGGCGCCGGGAGGGGGGGGGGGATTAGGCGCTGATGGCATGTAAACAAACTTATTGAATTGTACATGTGGTAGCACAATATTTAACAACCCTAAAAGTAATCGAGGCATCTTCATCACAGGGGAAAGAAGAAACATAAAAAGGATTGGAGTGACCTGCCAATTTAATTAAAACAGACTCAATATTTCCCTAATATCACAATTTAAAGAGGTAATAGAGAAGAACTTGGTTCACCGATTTGTCTTTCTCTGACCTACAAGGGCACATGTGATTAAAGAATGGGATTTTCTATATCCATTGCTGCAGCACAGCTGGAGGTATGTATGAAAATTGAAGTGTGCTTGTATGAAACCCTGTGGTGCTTATGAACTGAGAATGCCTAAATATCATTTGATAGCTTGTGCATACAAAGTGTTTTATTAATTAGTATAAAATCAGTAATTTGGCCAAGATTCTGTTAATATTCAGCATCTAGGATATGTTGCTTAAGCATTGCTTTGGCTGTCTCAAAATCCAATGGAATAAGATACCTGGAAGGGAGAGCATATCACCAGTGCAACTGGAAGATCTTTAGAATCTATATTGATTTAAAAACATCCTGTAGGATAAATGAAGCTGAATGTACATGAGAAAATAAGCAGACTACTTTCTATGGATTATTAAAATGGATTTGAATAGTTGTAACAAAATGATGAGACAATCCTATTGTGTTAAATAATAATAATTACAACACTTTATTTATATTCTGCCCTTCTCACCCCAAAGGGGACTCAGTGCAGATCACAGTACACATTCATAGCAAACATTCAATGCACTTACACCACATATTGTAATGCAAATAGTTTGACATTTCTTCTGCAAGATATCCAGGACTCCTTTTAGCAGAAGTAGTATTCTCCATATGTGTGGACAACAGCAAAAACCTACACCTGTGGGGCATATAAGGTACATTGCATCAAGCACCCTATTGTCTTCTAGCTGCTTATTCTTGGGTACTCCAAAGTTTCAGATATCTCATTTTTCCCAATTTCATCAAAATATTTTGTGGAATGTTTGCAGTAGCATGTATTTTATCCATCTCTTGGAATGTTTAGTAATAAATAATATTAGACTTTGCTATTAAGAAAGATAAAGTCTACAAAACAACTCTATGTCTATTAATTACTAAATGTTCCAAGAGATGGATGAAATGGATCCTACACTAAACTTTCCCAAAGAGGACACTGCTCCAGAATGTCATAAGATGGAGTTCAACTAACTGTATAGTCAAAATTGTTACTGAAACCAGTGTCCAATGTGCAAAACTAGTCCAATCTTTTCAGTTCCTCTACCTGGGGGGGGGGGGGGGGGCAAACTTGTGGCCCTCCAGCTTTTTTGGATTTCAGCTCCCAGAATTCCTGCTCATTGGGCAACTTGGCTGGGATTTCTTGGAGTTGGAGTCTCAAACACCTGGAGGGCAACACATTTGACAGCTCCTCCTCTGTCTGATGTCCATGAGTGTATGATTATATGTGTGTAGCATCTTAGCATGATAAGGCATATAGGATAGTTGTGTATCTTAATGATTTCTTTTATTTGTGAAGTGCTTTTGTCCAACAATGCACAAAGCAGTATATGACTAAAATGTATGTACCCAATTAATCCATAAACCCCTCAAATATATAAATAACCATTTTCAGTTGAAATTATGGCAGTTCAGAACTGAACAGATAGATTCAATTTTTTTGTGTTGCAAAGGTTTTTGGGACGTTTTCAGAAGGAGTGAAAGTGCATCTTTTGATCTTTAATTTTCTGTGGTAAGAGGCAGAAGTAATGAAACAACAAAGGAAGATTACAGCTAAAGGTGAAGCCACTGTAAATTTTAATGAATGATACTCGCTGATGGCATGATAAAAATGTTGTCTGGAACCATTCTTGATCATTTATGTCAGTACAAAGTACAGGCAGTCCCCAAGTTACAAACATCCAATTTACAAATAACTTATAGTTAAGAACAGGGATGAGCCATCAGGAAGTGAGAGAAATGTATCTCTAGGAAGAGAAATTAACTCCTGTAAGAGTTATCATGGGGGAAAAGGTGGCTCAAGCTTTATCACCAATTTTTGTGTTCACAACAAGCCAAAATTTTTCAAAATCCAATTCAGAAGATTTCAGAAGATTTCATAGATAGATAGATAGATAGATAGATAGATAGATAGATAGATATACTATCCAAAGCCTGCCTCTCTCTCTCTCTCTCTCTCTCTCTCTATATATATATATATATATATATATATTCGGCTTTGAATAGTATAGGGAAGTGTTAAAATTCCTTTAATGTTAGTTTTACTATCTGTGCCCCTGTTCAGAAGATTTCATCTGTCTGTCTGTCTATCTATGAAATCTTCTGAACAGGGGCACAGATAGCAAAACTAACATTAAAGGAATTTTAACACTACCCTATACTATTCAAAGCCTCTATCTATCTATCTATCTATCTATCTATCTATCTATCTATCTATCTATCTATCTATCTAGGCTATACACACAAACACACACAGTGTTATACTTCAAAATGTATCTGTTCCAACTTACATACAAATTTAGCTGAAGAACAAACCTACAGAACCTAACTTGTCTGTAACTTGGGGACTTCCTGTAAAGGGTTTTCCAGTCCTTCCATGAAGAAACACAGTTAAATTACCTATTTGTTACTATTGAGTTGCCTCCATGTGAAATCTAACCACCAGAAAGGGATAAAGCCCAGAGAAAGAGACAGCTGTTCATTAATAACACACAGCTGTTGATATTTTGTGATAGACAGTCTAGAGGTCCTTTGTCTTTCCTTTTAAATACATTAAATATTATAGATTTTGTACTTACCTCTGCCAGCAAGCATGCGTTGCCAGTTCATCAGATAAATTCTCATTAGTTTTTTTTCTTTAAAAGGAAACTCCAAGATAGCAGAAGTTTTGACCATGTCTAGTCGCAACAGGCAAGATAAAAGGCATGCTGAAATTATCTTGCAGATTTTTTTACAGGCATTTGAAACACCCAGGGCTGATACAGATTATGTAAACACAGCACCGCTGGTGCCAATTCTGAATTCAGGGGAAATAAGAAAATTACATTTAATCCACTTGCCCTGAATTTGAAAATGAGGGAGGAGAAGAGGGGAAATCTGCTTGGCAAAACCATGTGCCAATCACAGGAACGCAGGAGAAAGCCACACTTATCAAACACTGAATGATGCCCTGCAGGTTTGGTGCCAAAAGAGTGCTAAGGCGAGAGATGCATGGGAGGTCCTCCGGATGAGTCAGGGTGGGACTTCATCGGACAGGGGCAGAGCCAGGCAACTCTCCTGCTGCCTCTGTCCTTGGATTGTGCCATATGGAGCAGAGGGAAGCGCAAAGGGAAAGAAAAAAGACAACATGCAACAGGAGAGGGTATGTGCTGCTTTCCAGATGGTTTCAGGTTTTGTTTTTTCTGGGGGCATGTATCAAATCAGGAGGATGAATTAGCAGTAGCTTTTTCCTGCACTGATACATTGCACGCTATTCACTATTTGCCAGGATGTTCAAACTAATGTTATTCGCTTAAGGATTTAAGCAAGCAAGGGTTCTCTTACTTTTCCTATACATTTATTCTGAAGTAGAAAACTGAAAGGTAGAAAAGTTAAATGCTGGCATGGCATGGCACTAAAAATAGAATATTGATGCACAAGTGCCGTTAGACATGCCTAATATGAATCATGTTAACAGTTTGAAAAATATGTGTAAAAAACAAAATATTGATGCACAAGTGCAGTTAGACATGTTTAATATGAATCATGTTAACAGTCTGTTAAAAACACGTATCTGTTAAGTAAAAAGATCAATTTATTTTCTTGTTGACCCACACCAAAGTTGTTTTGATAAAAGATCTAAATTTGAAACTTCCTTCAAATCATCATATCCTAGTTCGGGACAGACAAATTATTTGGCATATTTGGAGGCCACTCTGTTAGAAGGGGAAGCAACCAAGAAGACTAAATGGCTTGATGACAGTTTTGGAACAAATAACAGTATTGTGTTTTGTTAAGAATTGACTGAATGGTTTTGCATTTTATTTAGTTGTTTGTTTGTTGTATTAACGTATGTGAGCATTTGATCAGTATCTGTATATGTCAGTTCCTGAAGGAAAGGCAGTATGAAGCTGTTTTGGGTATTTATTTATTAATTGTGTCAGAAGTGAATTGAGGGTACAGTTGTACTGCATTTAAAAACACAAAGTTTAAAACTTGTCATTATACTAAATGTCCTTTGACCAGTAGCTTGGCCACTTAGAGTGCCTCTGGTGTTGCTATAAGAAGGTCCTCCATTGTGCATGTGGCAAGGTTCAAACTCCATTGTGGTGGGTGGCTATTGGTTTGCTCTTCTCTCCACTCGAATGTCATGGACTCCACTTTGTAGCCCCATTTCTTAAGGTTGGCTCTACATCTCATGGTGCCAGAGTAGTCTGTTCAGTGCCTTCCAAGTGAATTACACTGAACTACCAAGTGTTTCAGGTAATATATATATCAAATGCAAAATCAGTAAAATTGTGAGCCATATATGGAACTGTACAGGCATGTAGCTGGGGGGGGGGGCCTTGAGGGGCTTCAGCCCCCCCCCCCCCGAAATTCTCATGGTGGTTCGCGAAAAGGCCTTACTGGTGCATTATTTAAACTGTTATGTTTATTCATATCATGATCTGATCACCATACTCAATATATCCAATATGCATGGGGGTATTGGGGTAACGATACAAAAGGTTTGCTAGGTAGACCCTCTTTCACTCAGACTCAGCCCCCCCCGAATCAAGCAAACTCAGCCCCCCCCCCCGAATCGAAATCCTGGCTACGGGCCTGGAACTGTAAAACAGTAAAATATCATATTTGTATGTGTGTGAATCATTCATTTTGATTCCATCTTACAAAATGTAATAAAACAATATAGATTAGAAGCCACCAGCCTCTAAGGTTTTCTTAAAGGTACGTGCATAAATTACAACTGCATAGTCACACAGTTGCAAGAAAAAATACTTACCATACATTAAGATTTCAGACGTGTACACACACTTTAGACTAGAAATTTGCAATAATATCTGTTTGAAACACACACCCTTTCCAATTGAGTATATTTTTACACAAATATCTTAAGTAAATCTGGAGGTCAAACATGACAACCTAAGAGGTAGTATAAATTGTTAAATGCTTGTATATCTTGCTGTGAGTGTATCAATTTTTAGAACAATGAGAAACAAATACAATAAAATAGAACTAAAAGACACGCTACAGGCTGGATCTGCTCTTGAACTTTTAGATCATTTTAAGGTATTATCCAACAGAGTCTTATTGCAATAGGGAATTACAACTGATACCATTCCCCTGCCATATATTTGTTTATGTTTTGTTTACTTTTCACTTTTAAATGCATACTAAAATATGTAAGATGTATACCAGAAGCAGTTTGAAAATAAATAATATGCAATCAGAATGATGTATAATTCACCTTCTTCAGCAATTGTAAATATTTTTAAAGCAACGTATTGATTCATTAAAAATTCCCTATGCAGCAAACTAGTCTAAATAACACAATTCACATTATTAACCTCCTTTGCTGTGGCAACTGAACTCCAATTACCCCTTCAACACTGTTTAAACCTTTCTCTCTTCTTTTCTCGCATCTATTACTTGATACTTCCATTATCTAAGTATCTTCTTGTGATTTAATTTCAGAATCCAGGTAACAGGTGACAGACCGGCTGCACATGCTGGTGTTGCAGAGGAATTCCAAGACTTTTTCCTGGGTGCTTGGAGAGCACAACAGAACAAGGGGATATACAATACCTTTTATGATTTTAAATATTGATCAAGGTGAGCAACATCCGTAGTTCATTCCAGGATGTCTTGTGGCAATGGTGGAACTGGTGGGCATCCAATGTATAACCTTTGCAGTAAAATTCAACGTTCAGACTCCCAAGTAGGAAACCTGAATGGGCACAGGAAGTCCACAGCCTTGTTGGACGTACAAACAAAGTTAAGCAATATGCAGTACTCTTCTGTGGCACTGGATCCTGATTTTTTGGTGACAAATGAATCAAAAATGGCATCAAACTCTGAAGAAGACAATTCTCAGGATCCTGCATTTCAGATAAACAATGAATCTATGACAGGAAATGAGATACGCCGGGTCTACGCTGCGAAGTGCTTTTATGGACCATACCTTACCAAAACTAGTATGCAAGGAGATGTATATAACTTTCTGGAACGGCCCAGTGGGTGGAAATGTTTCATATACCACTTTGCAGTGTAAGTACCTACCTTTTATTGATATGAATAATGTATTAGGCTTGTAAATAAATTAGGAAGTAACTCCACAGAAAATGAACAATTGACCTTAAACTGCAAACTGTTTTCTTTCAATGTGGATCATGTCAAGTTTACCAGAAGAAACCTGGAAAGTATTAACCCTGTCATCTATTTGGAAAAGTCTGGTATAGATTTATTTTACCTTTAGATTTCCCTGGAAGATTACTTTTAATTTATTTCAAGTTTTGTTTTGGTGGCCATTCTGGAACACATCTGCTTAAAATGAATTACATCTGATGAGAACTTGTATACATTTTATCTGTGAATGGAACTCTGTTATGTATCCTTCCAAGTTAAACTGCAATTCTGTCAACCTTAGTATCCTGACAGACACATCCTTTATTAATGACACTAGGATAATACTGACTTATCAAAGGCCCCATCTACACTGCATTTAAAACTACATTATATGGTCAGCGTAGACTTATATAATGCAGGGCATCTTAAACTTTATCCACTCACAATTCCATTTTATCTGAGAAGTTTTGGCATAACTCCTGATAAATAGATATATAAAATAGATATATAAAATTACTGATGATAAATCATAAGTAAATGCTTAATTTTACATAAAATTTATGTAGAGCCTTTTCAACATTTTTCATGCCATGCTGAAAAATGTTGCAGCCCCAAGTAGCAGAACATACTCTATTGACTTTCCTTCTTTTCTCCTCAGTTGAGACCCCTTCCACACAGCTGAATAAAATCCCACATTTTCTGCTTTGAACTGGAATATATGGCAGTGTGGACTCAGATAACCCAGTTCAAAGCAAATATTGTGGGATTTTCTGCTTTGATATTCTGGGTTGTATGGCTCTGTAGAAGGGCCCTGGGTGGAGGGAGAACAATGGGGTGTTTTGAGGGTCTATGGGCCCTTCCACACAGCCCTTTATCCCAGAATATCAAAGCAGAAAATCCCACAATATCTGCTTTGAACTGGGTTATCTGAATCCTCACTTAGATAATGTGGGATTTTCTGCCTTGATATTCTGGGATATAGGGCTGTGTGGAAGGGCCCTGAATCTCCAGCTTAACAAGTCCCAGGTTGCAGAGTGGACTATGTGCCTAAAATGGACCCATACCCACCTCTCTCTTGTTCCCATCATGGTCTGTTAACATACATGCATGCAGTCCATATCCCCCTCCCCAAGTCCCCAGAGAAATGGTACTAACCCTGCACAAGTAGCAGACAAATTCTTGAATAGCAGGTGTCTGACATTTTTGATTTCAGTTCAGTATGGTTTATAAACACAGCATTGTTTTTAGTATCAAATTTGAAGGGAAGCATTTCTGAAACTGAAAAGATAGCCATGAAGTAAAACAGGCATTTTCAAGGCTGATTTTTCTTTTTGATGAAGTACAGCTGAAGCATTTTCTGCAAGTTACTAACAAATTCATGTAAATGCTTAATACAGCCACTAGGTGGCAAGCTACACACATTTTTGAGACCCCATTAAAAGAACCCCAAATGGGGTCATGACCTGCAGTTTAAGAAGATTTGTTATAATACAGTTCAGTGGAGATCAAATGCATTATATGAACCTATACTGACCACATAATGCAGTTTCAAACTGCTTTATATGACAGTGTTGATGGGGCCAAATAGTAGTCTATTTGAAACAATTCCTAGGAGAGAGTGGAACTTATAATCAGTGTAGACTCATATAATGCAATTTAACTGCATGATATGAGTCGACACTGACCAGTTTCAATCTGCATTATATGGCAGTGTAGACGGGGCCTCCGAAACCTCTTCATAGATGCTGAGTAATCTTACAATTGAACCGAAACACTTATATGGAAATTGTGTACAGTTTATTTACATATGATTGCATCTTGTTTTTTCAAAAGCTTCTTTCTATATAAAATGGCAAAAGATCTGTTTTTAAATTTAAATAATCTAATGGTAGTAAATCTTCTTTAAAACAATTAAGTGTATGCAGTCAATTTTACTTACAGGGGGAAGTCAGCCATATAATGTGTTGAAGATTTGAGGTAATAATAATCCTCCACCATACTATTTATTTACCATTCTTTTAATATATTCTAAGATCACTTTTAAGAGTACAGTCTTCTTAATGCATCTCATATAGTAAAAACAGTAGCAACAATATAGCAACAGAAATAACAATCCAAAAATCCATAAATAACATTTTTTGTTGTCCTATCAACCAACATCCAAATGCCAAGCTGAAATAGTTGTGGTTAAGATTCAGCAGAATATCAGCAAAGAAAATAGCTCTTCAGAGTTTTCTTAAAGGCCTACAGAAAAGAAAGGTGGTTGGCAATGCATTTTGGAGACATGGGATATTAATATGTTTTCTCTGTCATATATGACAACGTGATAGCAGAAAAATCAGAAGGGCTTTGAGGTGTGCTCATATCGCTGGGTTGGTGTAGGTTTTTTCGGGCTATATGGCCATGTTCTAGAGGCATTCTCTCCTGATGTTTCGCCTGCATCTATGGCAAGCATCCTCAGAGGTAGTGAGGTATGTTGGAAATAGGAAAATGGGTTTATATATCTGTGGAATGACCAGAGTGGGACAAAGAACTCTTGTCTGTTGGAGCTAGGTGTGAATGTTTCAACTGACCACCTTGATTAGCATTTGCTGGCCTGGCAGTGCCTGGGGCAATCTTTTGTTGAGAGGTGATTAGATGTCCCAGATTGTTTCCTCTCTGTTGTTTTGCTGTTATAATTTTAGAGTTTTTTAATACTGGTAGCCAGATTTTTTTCATTTTCATGGTTTCCTCCTTTCTGTTGAAATTGTCCACATGCTTCTGGATTTCAGTGGCTTCTCTGTGTAGTCTGACATGGTGGTTGTGAAAGTGGTCCAGCATTTCCGTGTTCTCAAATAATATGCTGTGTCCAGGTTGGTTCATCAGGTGCTCTGCTATGGCTGACTTCTCTGGTTGAAGTAGTCTGCAGTGCCTTTCATGTTCCTTGTTCCGTGTTTTGGCAATGCTGTGTTTGGTGGTCCCTATGTAGACTTGTCCACGGCTGCATGGTATATGCAGAAGTTAGAGGATCCCTCTTGTCCTTTGCTGAACGTAGCATTTGTTGGATTTTATTGGTGGATCTGTAGATACTTTGTTGTGTTTCCTCATCAGCTTCCCTATGCGGCCAGTGGTTCCCTTGATGTATGGCAAGAACACTTTCCCTCTGGGTGGATCTTTGTCTTTACTCTCGTGGCTTGTTCTCGATCAACTCTCAACAAAAGATTGCCCCAGGCACTGCCAGGCTATCAAATGCTAATCAAGGTGGTCAGTTGAAACATTCACACCTAGCTCCAACAGACAAGAGTCCTTTGTCCTACCCTGGTCATTCCATAGATATATAAACCCATTTTCCTAGTTCCAACAGACATCACTACCTCTGAAGATGCTTGCCATAGATGCAGGCGAAACATCAGGAGAGAATGCCTCTAGAACATGGCCATATAGCCCGAAAAAAACCCTACAACAACCCAGTGATTTTGGCCATGGAAGCCTTCAACAATATATTGTGCTCATATTATTTGAAACTTTAAGGAATGTCCAATCTTGCAGGACTAAAACCCCTATCATTCCTGACTCTGGGAGTACATTTACACTGTAGCATTAATGCAAATTCACAGCACTTTAATTGGCATGGCTCTGCTATAGAATCGTGGGAGTTGTAGTTTTATAAGATCTTTAGTTTTTTCTGCCAAAGACTGATGGTGCCTCATTAAACTACAAATCCCAAGACTGCATAGCATTGAGCCATGGCAGTTAAAGTGGTGTCACACTGCATTAAATTTACAGTGTAGATACACCCTTGGTCATGTTAATTATGCTAATATGGCACAGATTCTCCTGCAGGGGAACTAATCAGAAACATACTGGTGAATAAAATACCTGTAGCAGTGTCATGTTACATGCTCTTATCCCCTCTCCTCTGTACTCTTCAATGGTCATCTATTTTGTGCCATGCACATTGTGGTAGTCCAGCATGGATATCATCAGAACAGGGTAATAACTAAGGCAAGATTAGAGCTTCCTAAATGTGGTCACAGCTGGCATACTAGCTCAAACTAAGAGGGGAAAGGACTAATTGACCTCTCAAGAAGGGCATTCCAGATTTTGTGATAACGTTTAATGATAAATAATTAGGAGTTCGGTTTGGTTTAGTTTAACAGATGTCTATATTGTGCCTTTGCAAGAGAATGTGGTGAGATTAAGTTCAGATTATTGCTCTTGGATACTTGTGACAGAAATAAGACCTGGATGTGTTAGTGTGGCTTCTAATACTAATTATCTAGGATTTGGGTTGTACACTGCTTGGTTTAAAATTCATTCTGCATGTAATTATTGCGAGGAAGGGTTGTGTGTGGTCTGAGAAACAAAATGGTGAAGTTATGGAACACAAATGCAGAAAGGCTTGCTACAAATAAACTTTTTCTTCATAAGGCAGTCAGAAATTGCTGAAATTTTCTCCTTTCTCTCAAGGTTAAATATTGGAGTCAGAGTAGGAATTGTGCGTGCTGGGTTGGAAGAGTATGTTTTGATTTACAATTGACAGGAAAGTCTGCTCAGCTACCTTTGTCAAAATTTTGTCACGTTTCTCATCTTCGATCATGATTTGATAATTAGATGAGAGGAAAATGTAGTGAGAAAGACACTAATATTGTCAGTGATGCCACTAGGGCTGGTGTCACTCAGTTCTGTAATTCATAGTGTTATCCCATGGACCTTCTTTCATAGCAGAACATAACACAATATTGAAGCTAAAGTACAGGCTGAATATCTCTTACCCAAAATGCCCTAAGATGAGAAGTGCTCCATCTTTTTGGATTTTGGAATACTTGTACGGCCAGTTCCCAAGTAATGAACAAGATAGGTTCTGTGGGTTTGTTTTCAAGTTGAATTTGTATGTAAGTTGGAAGAGGTACATTTTAAAGTGTAACTCTCTCTCTCTCTCT